TAACAATGATAATTGCCCATGTGTTTTCATTAAGAAATCTTGAGCAAGGAGTTTTATATTATATCAGGTGTATGTTGATGATTTAAATATTATTGGCAGCCAAAGGATATAGAAGAAGCACGCAAACATCTAAAGACGAAATTCGAGATGAAGGATTTGGGTAAGACCAAGTATTGCCTAAGCTTACAACTTGAGCACCGTTCTTCAGGGATTTTAGTGCATGAATCAGCCTATATCTAGAAAAATATTGAAGAAATTTAATATGGATAAATCATACCCTAATAAAACTTCGATAGTTGTTCGTTCCTTAGAAATAGGGAAAGATCCATTTAGACCACACGATATTGGGGAAAATGTGTTGGGACCAGAAATATCATATCTCAGTATCATTGGCGCACTTATGTATCTTGTAAATTACACGGACGATATAGCATTTAGGTTGAACTTCTTGCCCTGAGGCATAGATCACGGATCAACTTCGTCGTCATTGGAGAGCAAAGTGTATCATCGAGATACCTTAATGGCACAAAAGGATCTTGATTTATTTTTCAAGAAAATCATGATCCCGATTATGATTGGTTATCTTGATCTTTGGTTACTTATCTGATTCTTATAGCTTGGAAAATCCAAATAGAATTTGTATTCCTACATGGAGGTACAACTATTTCATGAAAGTCTTCTAAGTAGACTACGGCGACCTCTACTAATCATTATGAAATTATTGCTCTATACGAGGCATCATGAGAATGTGTATGGCTTCGTAGAATGATTAACCACATACAACAGTCATGTGGTATTAGTTCAATTGAATCACCTACAATTATCTATGAAGATAATTCCGCTTGTGTTACACAGATGCAAACATGTTACATAAAGAACAATATCACTAAGCATATTGTTCCTAAACTGTTTTATCCCCATAAATTACAAGAAAGCGGGAAAATAAACATCTTACAAATCAAGTCATGTGATAATCTCGCTGACCTATTTACTAAGTCCTTACCAACTTCTGTGTTTCAAAAATTGGTACATGGAATTGGTATATGGCGACTTCAAGATTTGCAAGAATAAGAAGGAGACATCTCCTAAATATTGACCTGTACCAGCATCATATTATACTCTTTTCTTTCACAAGTTTTACTTACCAGGTTTCTTGTTAAAGTTTTTAATGAGATAATATTAACATAAGCATGTGTCATATTTTCTATTTTTCCCATCGAGGTTTTTGTAGGAAATATCAAAGACACGTGTTGCCCTCACAACTCATCCATGGTTTTTCCCTGGAAAGGTTTTTCATGTGAGTTATCCAAGAGGCAATACCAATAATATGTCGTCATATTTTCTCCTAATTTTTCCACTGGGTTTTTACAGGAGTTTTAGCGACATATCACTTTATATTGCTTCTCATATTTTTCCTGAAATGGTTTTTGGAGAATAATCTATATGTCGTATCTCCAATATTTTTCCCCAGTGAAGTTTTTAATGGGATACCAATGACATAGTGATTTATTTAAATCACACTCATATATGCTATTTTTTCCTTATTTTCCTATAAGGTTTGAAGGAATTTTTATAGCATATCTATATATATACATATTTCTCATATTTTTCCCACGTTTTTTCGAGGAATCCAAGCATACAACTGCATTGATCTCAAAGAATATTCGATAAGGGGGAGTGTTACGAAACGGTAACAGACACCAGTGATCTCATCAACAGAGGAAGATAATTAGCAGTTAGTTAGTATAAGCAATTAGCACTATGAAAGAGCATGTTCCTTTGGTAGTAGACTGTTCCAGTGAACCGTTGCTTTTATTTAAACAGTCACATCCGTACAGAGTTCGTACAACGCGACCCTTCACTTTATATAATCAAAGAGATAAATGAACATTTACATTCACATTCAACGAATCCAACGCCGCCGGAGGATACGAACGGAACAAACAAACTGGCTGGCGCGCGCGCGCGCCCCTTCCCATTCCCCGCCCGCCTCTTCCCCTCCATTCCATGGTCGCAGCTCCCAATGGCACGACCTCGCCATATTGGGCAGGCCAGCCGGCTCGCTTCCACCCTTCCTCCTCTCCCATTCCAAATTTAGCTCACCTCCGGCATCGCCGTTCTCGTGTTCCCCTTCCCGCCGCCGCCGGACGGCGACAGCCGGCCGGCGGGCCGGCTCCTGACGCAACGAGGCGCCGAGGCTCCTCCTCCTCGTTCTTCCTCGCTCGCACGCGGCATTGTCCGACCGATCGATCCTTCCACTGAACTGAACGTGAACGTGAACGGCTGGGGGCTCGCGCGGATGGACGACCTGAAGGCGAGCCTTGCGCGGCCGATCCAGCTCGCGGAGCAGGTGATCAAGTGGGCGGACGAGGCGCAGACGTGCCGGCAGGAGTGCCAGGACCTCAAGGCCAAGCTGGAGCGCCTCTCCACGCTGCTCCGGCAGGCGGCGCGCGCCGACCTCTACGAGCGCCCCGCGCGCCGCATCCTCGAGGACACCGACAAGGCGCTCGACAAGGCCGCCGCGCTGCTGGAGCGCTGCTGCGGCCACGGCTTCGTCCGCCGCGTCTTCACCATCATCCCCGCGGGGTCGTTCAAGAAGGCCTCCTACCTGCTCGACAACTCCCTCAGGGACCTCACCTGGATCCTCCGCGTCTCCAACTACGCCGCCTCCGACGAGGACGAGGAGGACGACCACATCGGCCTGCCCCCCATCGCGCAGAACGAGCCCATCCTCTTCCTCATCTGGGAGCAGATCGCCGTGCTGCAGTACGGCGGGCTCGAGGCCCGCGCCGACGCCGCCGCCAGCGTCGTCTCCCTCGCGCGCGACAACGACCGCTATGGCAGGCTCATCATCGAGGAGGACGGCGTCCCGCCGCTGCTGCGGCTCATCAAGGAGGACGCGCCGACGCGCAGGAGAGCGCCGCGCTCGCCATCAGGCTCCTCGGCCGCGACCCCGAGTGCGTCGACCTCATGATCCTCGCCGGGGTCTGCACCTCCTTCGTCAAGATCCTCAAGGACGCGCCCATGAAGGTGCAGGGGATGAGTGGCGTGGGCGGTCTCCGAGCTCGCCGCCAACCACCCCAAATGCCAGGATGCCTTCCTCCAGCACAACGTCATCCGCCTCCTCGTCTCCCACCTCGCCTTCGAGACGGTGCAGGAGCACTCAAGTACGCCGTCGCCTCCAAGATGTCCATCCACTCCCGTGCTCATGGACAAGAAGAGCAACGACAGCTCACAGGACCCCTCGGGCAGCGGGGGAAAGCCGCCACTGCCACCACCGCCGCCGCCGTGGCCGCGGCGAAACCAACCGTGGGCGGCGCCGGCGGGACAGGCGCCAGTAGTTCGATGAGCGCGACGGTTCCCGGTCCCAGCGCCAGACCCGTGGGCATGGCCGGGATGAGGCTGCACAACGCGTCCATGTCCGCCACGAGCACGCGGGGAGAGAGTACGAGGACCCGGAGATCAAAGACTACCTGAAAGCGCACGCCGCCCGGGCGCTGGGCACGCTGGCCACGGGCAACCCGGCCATCTGCAAGAACATCACGGAGTCGAGGGCGCTGCTCTGCTTCTCGATCCTCCTCGAGAAGGCCACGGGCGACGTGCAGTACAACTCGGCGATGGCGCTCGTGGAGATCTGCCGCGTCGCGGAGCAGAACGCCGAGCTCCGGCGGTCGGCGTTCGCCCACCTCCCCCGGCGCGCGCCGTGGTGGACCAGCTCCTCCGCGTCGTGGAAGGCCGACTACGACGACCTCCTCATCCCCTGCATCACGTGCCTGGGGTGCCTGTCGAGGACGTTCCGGGCGACGGAGACCCGGGTCATCGGCCCGCTCGTCAGGCTCCTCGACGAGCGGGAGGCCGACGTGAGCCTGGAGGCCGCGGCGGCGCTGGCCAAGTTCGCGTGCATGGACAACTACCTGCACGTGGACCACTGCAAGTCCATCATCGCCCACGGCGGCGCCAAGCACCTGGTGCAGCTCGTCTACTTCGGCGAGCAGGTGGTCCAGACGGCGGCGCTCGTCCTCGTCTGCTACCTCGCGCACAACGTCCCCGACAGTGAGGACCTCGCGCAGGCCGAGATTTTGACGGTGCTCGACTGGGCGTGGAAGCAAGGATACATGTCACAGGATCCGGTGATCGAGAGCTTGCTGCCCGAGGCCAAGATTAGGATGGAGCTCTACCAGTCCAGAGTAGGATACTATTGATCAAACGCTGCTGTTAACTTGTGTTATTATAAGGAGGGGAAACAGAAACAGAAGGATGGCTGCCGCTTCACCTTCACAATTTCACGTACATCAACTGACTACTGTATATAGATCATTCAGGTAACTTTATTCATAGTCTGGTTAACCTTCTTATGTTCATTCAGAGGGAAAAAAACATAGGTGAAACTTTTTTGAAGTAATCCGTGTCGTTTTCATGTTTGGTTGGGACCTAGCTTCTTGATACTGGAGGCGATCGTAAAGTTTTGTTTTGAGGATATAATATATCATCAGAAGGTTTTTTCTTATAGGTTTTCCTAAACCTGTATCTCATTTGGTGGTGAACAATGTGGTATAGTATAACCCTTCTTAGGGGAGATACTTATCCCTTGATAGTGGAGGCAAAATCAGTGAAGTTTTGTTTGTGTGGATACCAGCATCAGCTTTAATTCTTAACTCTATCTTATTTGGTGACTAGCACAGCCACATTTTTGGGGCAGATCAGCATATTGTACTCTGTCTTGTCACTTGAACCTGCTCATTGATGTATATTAGGTTTTACTCATTTACTGAAAAAGAATTTCTTTGACATGAATCACGTGGTTTCTTTGCTGGCTCTTAAGGAATCCATCCATGTACTGTGCTAATTAATGCAGGAACTTGAACCATATACAGCGCTAAATATTTTATGCTGATCTCTGTTGGACAAAAGGAAATTGTATCTTCATTTGTTAATTGGGAAATACTAATAGTCCATTTACTACTCTCAACTATTCAGTTTGTTACTCGTTTAACTCAATCTGTTCTCTCAAACACTAAACCGGACCAGCCCCAAATAAACATTTTCTTATTTTTCCATCCATGTCAAAGCTATGTTCTGGGTTTAAATTGTGTAAGGTGTGCCAGCATCATCATATACCCTATGATACATAAATAGTTCTGATTTTTTTTCACGCTTGCTTTTATCAATTGGGAGCACTTAAATTTACATTAGCCCTCCACATATACATGAAAATGCATGAAAAATAAGCAAAAAAAAAAAACATCAGAGTATTTTTTTTCAGCATATATTATGATACCAGCTAATTACCCAAAAGATTTGAACACATGACATAACTCGTACAAGGAGCAACAGTTTTTTTTTAAAAAAAAAACTCCGTACATCATTGGGAGTGAATTGGACCATTTAAATAGTTCTTGGGACAAAATAGAATCGATATCTCGTATAGGGGTTCAAACTTCAAAGCGACAAAGTGAATTGCTTGGGCTAGTCAAATTGATTGTTTTGGTTTGACAAATATTGTCACAAATTAAACAACGTTTATTACTTTTCTAACTGTGCTACCTAGCTGCAAGTCTGCTTTCGCTGGCCACTGACGAGCAGCATATATATGTCGAAGAATTATGGAAAGCAGAACAATTTAGCTCTTTCTCTCATCAAGTTCAATTTGCGAATACAACATGTTCTAGACTAAGCTTTAGGAGTTTTCTTTTGGGTGGATGATATGCCCTTTCGCTATAGCTGGAAGAAAGCACCCATGTCTCAGTTCAGAAAGGCAGAAGGTTTGAGGCTTCTTGGTTGTTGTAGTGCGTCTTTAGGGACAAATCCATTGCCAACCCTTGTCCTCATTTTTTTTTGATAAGTATCCTCAATTTCCAAGATGACATAAATAAAGAAGTTCTGTCATTTTCACGCTTTGACCCGATCTTTTTTGCTGGCGAATGTCTTATTTGGATCCGATTCAGACATGCAATCAGCGTCTTATCGTCATATGCACCGTCGATTCTTAACAACTGCTGCAGCGAATTGATAGGTGCGTGCATCCGTCGTGTTGTATTGAAGTACCGGATCGAATGCACAGTTGATGTGGCCATATCCATTTCTGTGAAGCTTATGTTCGCTTGAACTTATCAGCCTTTCTTTTTAGCTTTGGTACAGTCTCATAACGAATCAGCGAACAGTATCTTTCAGCCTAGCTTTTCAGCGAAGAACAAGGAGGGGGGTGCGACCTTGCGAATGCAACCATCTGGGCTTGCTCTTAACATTCATTCACTTGTACAGTAGCTCAACTATCTTAGGCGCTGCCAGGTTCAAAATTTTCACCAACTGTTTTGCAGGAATTTTGCGAGATTCAGTGTTTCCGTCGTTACGAGGAAGGCAGACACGGACTGAAGGCCTGGACCTATAGGTGGTACCCTGCAGCACGCAGCAGTCTGTTTGGATGAGTGGGGGAGAGAGATCGGCCAAGTGAGGTTCGGGTGATTAGGCGGTGCAAGCGAATCTTATCAGCGTTGCAATTTGCACTGCCCAGAATCTGAGCCTGAATCCAAAGGTAAGGCATGGGTGCATGGTCTGTAAGATTCTGCTGGTGATTCCTTGGCACGACAGCTAAAGCGATCAGCGATGCGGATCGTGTCAGGACTCAGGATTAGGCGCATGATGGTCCAGCGTTCCATCAGGATCGGATGAGCTGCTGCTGAAGCGGCAACAGCAAAGTGATGTGCAAGCAGAGGCAGGAGTCCAGGACGACGCAGCCTCGTCGCTTCATCGGCGACGACGACCCGTCACTGCCCACCCACCCAGCGGGGCAAAAATGCCAGACAGCGTCAGGACTGGCCGACATCGCACAGTAGGCACGTGCCCATGCACTCCCTGGGAGGCTGGGACACCTCCTCTATCCGCCCTCGCCGACGTGTCGATGGCGCGTCGTCGATCGCTCCGTCAGTTGTCGGGGCCACATCGACTGGAACATACTCAGCCCGGCCGGGAGCGCCGCCGCCCGCGGCTTCGCCGGTCAGTCGGCACGACTACACGAGTCCAGCCAGGTCCAGCAGCAGCAGCGCCCGATCGGCACGGCACATCGCGTCATCGCCAATGGAGGACGACGCATGCTGAGGCCAGCGATACTTTTCTTTCCTTTCCTTTTCCACGCGTTTTTTCCCTTTTCATTCACAAAGGAAGGGGAGGACAGGGCAAAGGGGCAGGCGGTCAGGTCGATCGGGCCACCGTGAGGCTTGGGAAGAGCAGTAAGGCGGCGGCGGCGGCTGCTGCTCGTGTTATGGAAAGACGATCGCGGCTGCCCTTCCACGGTGGCCTCCTCGCCCAGTCGTCCTCGACTCCTTGTGTTGCCACTCCACTCCCGCAGGCGCCGCGCGTGTCCCGTAGTAGACACGATCCATCGTCGGTCGGTCGGTTTGCTTACATGCGAAGAATCGGCCTCAAGAAGACCTACGCGGACCGCACAGCCTTTCTCGCTGTCGCGTGCCTGGCCCTTGGATCGCCGATCGGACCGCTAGCGGCCAGCCAGGCGAGCGAGCGGGAGGGCGCCCCACTTCCACGTTCGGAGAGCACGGACTCGCGAACGTGGTGCCAACCGAGTCAACTATGCATATGCGTCGCGGACTCGTGCGGCGCGGCCTTTCGTACATCCAAGTACAAAACCGCCCAATGAGGCAATGACGTGACTTACGTTTTTTCTCCCGATGCGTGACAGCGACAGGTATTCTACGCAGCGGAAGCAGACAAGAGGTTGTCGTCACCAGCTACTCTACTCACCAACAAGCCAAACTAGAACCGGCAATCATCAGGCAGCCACTGGTCCCGCCTGTTCTCCTCCCATGTCATGCTCGTGCTCCCGGAATCTGACAATCTGTAGCTCCGTGCTGTATTTCTCTCCCAAAATGTTTCTCAAACATGACTGACTGCATGAGCCACGACTAATGAGTCATGACTCGTGAATGAATGAAAAAGGACGGTGAGCCACGCCAGATCTGTTTTGTCCCTTTGAATAGGACCCTTCCAAATCGCTGATTGCTTGACCCATGAGACGAGAGGAGAGAACGGAACACAGGGAATCCACTCATCTCGGTTTGAATTGACTGGTTTGCTGCCGGTGCCGGCCGGTCCTCACCGTCCGTCCCCGGCGGTTATAAAACCGGCAAGCCACGCACGGCACGCCTCCCGGCTCCCGCAGCCCCACCCCCCACATCGGCGCATCCCCCGTTCCCCCCCGCTCCGCAAGCGAAGGCGAGGCGAGGTGGGGATACGGGCCGTGAGGGTCGCGCCCACTTCCACGGGTCCATCTCCCCCTCCACTCCCCCCAACCGCCGCCGCCGCCGCCGCCGCCGCCGCCTTATTACACGGCCGCACACGCCCCGGCTCCTCCTCACTCTACCTAGTACCAATCGCCCATCCAGCCTCACAATCGAGCTCCCGACCACCAGCACGCCTCGCGCTCGAGCTTCCCTCCCAGCACCGTGCCACCTCCTTCAATGGCTTCTCGGGCGCGCCTGCCGGGCTCGCCGGCCTCGATCGCCGTCCTCATCCTCTCCTTCTTCCAAGGTACGTACGTGGTGGCTCCGATTCGTTTCCTCGCCTTTGGATTGATTGCTTGGATTCGTGTGGGGATGGATGGGCAAGCCGCAAGTATGACTGACTGAACCCGCGTCGGTTGTTTCCGGTGTGGTGCCCGCGTCCGTCCGTCCGTCGCGCAGGGTCGGTGTGCGGCATCACGTTCACCTTCACCAACCGCTGCGACGACACGGTGTGGCCGGGCCTGCTGTCGGGCTCGGGGACGCCGCCGCTGGAGACGACGGGGTTCGCGCTGTCTCCAGGGCAGTCGCGCTCGCTGTACGCGCCGCAGGGGTGGTCGGGCCGCTTCTGGGGCCGGTCCGGCTGCGCCTTCGACGGCTCCGGCAAGGGCTCCTGCGCCACGGGCGACTGCGGGTCCGGCGAGGTCGAGTGCCGCGGCGCGGGGGCGTCCCCGCCCGCCACGCTCGCGGAGTTCACGCTCGACGGCGCGGGGGGCAAGGACTTCTACGACGTAAGCCTCGTCGACGGCTACAACCTGCCCATGCTCGTGCAGGCCGCCGCGCCGGACTGCCCCGACACGGGGTGCCTCGTCGACCTCAACGAGCGCTGCCCCGACGAGCTCCGCGCCGACGACGGCCGCGCCTGCCGCAGCGCGTGCGAGGCGTTCGGCAGCCCCGAGTACTGCTGCAACGGCGCCTACGGCAACCCCAACACCTGCCACCCGTCGCAGTACTCGCAGCTCTTCAAGTCGGCGTGCCCAAAGTCCTACAGCTACGCCTACGACGACGCCACATCCACCTTCACCTGCAACCACACCGATTACACCATCACCTTCTGCCCCAAATCCACTCCGACCAGGTTAGGTTCTTCTCATTACCTCTTGCTCAAATCAATCGTTCATTCCTTCATCTAGCTCCTTCACTTTCAGTTTCAGTTTCAGTTGCAATTTCGAGCTGCAATGCTTGTTTGACATAGATTACGTGAGAAGGAGGAGGTCTTGATTCGGAATTCTTAGTCTTGGAGCAAAGCAAAGAAGCTTTGATTTGTACTCTTCTCTTTCCCATCTTTTTCCTTCTGTCCCCACTCGGCACCTTGCCACCTTGTGTGCTGTGTGACTAGAAAGTCACAACTGCCGAGTTGGAACTGCAAGGAACACATCAGACTGATCGAGGGTCTCACATCTGTTGCTTAGTTAACTTCACAAGTTCATGCTCTTGTTGACGAACTACTAATATGCTGTGCAGACTTCATCAATATTTATTTTGACATTTTTGCAGTGACAAATCCAAACATTCGTCGCGGAGGCCAAGCCACGAGCAACTGGAAGATTCAGTGTGGCTTGCATCCTTGAAGGCAAGTGACGCCAGTGCTCTGAAAATAACGTCATGGTGGTCGGCGTCCACTGTGCTCCGATCTGCCCTGGCAATTGCAGTGGTGACCTTGCTTGTTGCACAACTTGCACCGTATCATCCTATGGTCAGCTTGCTATGATTTGGCAAGGTGCGATCCACAAGTTATTTTCAGACTGGAAGAGGATTAGAGCAGCAGTAGTGATCAGCGATGGGTTGAGAATATTCTGTAGGCTTTTTGTTTGTGGATAGGTGATAGAAAAGGAATGATGTGTTACAAGTTGGCAATCGGAATTCCATGAATGCATTGCATAAGCTCATTGCCTTACGGAAACATTTCTCTTTGCATTATTCTCTTCTTTGTGCATCAACTGTTTTTTTCTTTGGGGGGCGTGATCGACGCCGCATGCTGACCCGGCGTCACATTGGAATGACAAGAATATGCGATCTGATATCTCAAATGGATATTGTAACCATTTGATCTGCACAGGTGCACAGAGTGATGGGATTCAGGTTGCCATGTTGTCGTCGGGTCCCTTTTTCTACTTTTTCAGTAAGGCGCATAAAAAAATATCTCAGATGGATACTGTAACCATTTGATCTGCAGAGGTCGACACTCGACAGAGTAATGTGATTCAGGTTAGAACTCTACACCGTCATGGTTGTGATGTCACTTTGCTTTCTCCTCTAATGTTGCGTGACTAGTTTTACATTTTGAATGATATAAGCAAGTTAGTGATAGGTCTGATCTAGAGGAAAAGTCTGACAGCTCAATATCACCCTGTTCGCTTGATCGTTTCTGTGGCTTATAAGCCGGCTGATGCTGTTTTGTTGTGAGAGAAAAACACTATATCATGGCTGATACGATCAGACGAACAGGTATGACTAGTTTCCCTGTTTACAAATTTTACTAAATCTAAACATGAACACTGTATGGAATGCCTTATATTTTAGCACAAATTTTGGGAGTCATAATGCGCTATTTACTAGAATCTAGAATGGATATATATGAAACAAAAAGGACAAAAGGAAAATCGATGACTTTTTTATTGAAAAAGAGAAGTCGAAGATAGAAACGATCAGTAGTGATGCCTTTGACAAAGAATGGGCATCCCGCACTTATCGTGCCCAATCCAAAGAGCTCACCCTCCCCGTAACAGCTGCCCACCCTGCCTCCGCATCAGCCACAATGCGGCCGCCGGACGTACCACCGGGAGCTGGTTGTTCGCAGCGCCGCCGTCCACGGTACCGAGTTTGTTTGCTATGTGGAAGCCTAAAAGCTGCATGCCAATATTGCATCATCTTCCTTGCCTTTGCCTATTAGCTTGTATACAGTATACTACCAGTATTTGGAAGATCTCGAAAGATCTTAAAATATCATAAATAATAAAAAAAAAACATTCGAAAGAACAAAATAAGCCATTACTTGTCATAATATACATATTGGCAGCTTATAATAATGACAAATTTGCTCAAATCATATCTTCAATAAATAGTCAATCCATAGATACCTACACAGAAGACTAGCAACCCAACATTTTAATCCCAAGGAACAATCGCTCAAGGACAAATTCTGCAATTTAATATCAATGAACGAGTGCTCAAACACAAATTCTGCATTCTTTACTCATCAGCAAGATTCCTCCAATATGATTCCTCCAATATGCTAGAAGTTTTATTCTAACATTGAGAATACATAACCTAGATAAAATATAGGCAAATTTTGCTATGGGACACCGCATAAACTTTTAATTGGCCAGCACACACCGCAACGACGCTTCTTTGCCTAGTACCATTATAAATTTTTGGTTATTTGCCAGTGGACACCGCGCCAATTAAAATAAGAATTTCCTGCGTCAGGGAGAGAGAAACTTGATGGAGTAGACGATTTTGCCCCAGCCGGCTTGAGTCGCGTTCGTGGTCTAGTTGAACCACATAAACCAGATCGGACCCGCACCCGTCTTCTTCCCCATTCTTCTCAGCCTCATTCTCTCCCTGTCCTCCGTCTCCCTTTTGCAGGAACCCTAGTTCCTTAGGTTTGGGCTTCTGGGATGGTATCGAGCTCGCATTCCACCCCCTACGGCGCGCCTCACTCGCCCCCCTTGTCCGTTGAGCCGTATAGGGACCCTGCAGGCTTCTTGCCATTGTTTGCTTGCTCCAAGTGCGGAACCAAACTCATCGGATGCGTCTCGCAGAAGACCGGTAGCAAGGGGAAGAGGTTCTACAAGTGTTCACTGCTTGAGCATGTAAGTTTTTGTTGACTTGTTATTGTCATGGTGATAGATCTGGTTTCTTAAGTTCAAGTTGTCCCATCTATGGTTTGCAGACCGATTTTGCTTGTGGCATATACATGTTTGAAGAACAGTATGTGGAATACTTGGTCGCCCAAGGCCATCTTCCCCGTGGTTGGAGTCAAATAAGAGGGCGAGACGGCATGGCGCTGGAGGTGGTGAAGGCTGACAATGACATGGTGAAGGCCTACCAAGGTGTTGAGGCCTGCCAAGATCTGTTGCACAGTGCTGTCATTCATCTGAAAGATTCAGAGGCAATGCTCAAGGCTCTAGTTGACAGCCACGCCACTTTGGACAACAATATTGAAAAGATAGGAGAGAGGCTGCTTGTAGTTGCTGCTGCAAAACTTTTCGTTTTAGTGTTAGTGCTGTTAGTGTTGTTGGTTAAGTGAAGATGGTAGCAGCCTAACATGTATCCAGCTATTTGTAAGACTTTGTTTGTGAACCTGTTTCCAGCTAGTTGATAAATGTGCAACTTGCCATATGAGACTACATAACTGATGTTGATAAATGTGCAACTTGCCATATGAGACTACATAACTTGCCATATGAGACTACAACAGGCATTACATAAGTCTGACTTCGACATAACAGGTCCATTACCCAGTTCATTACTCGTTCTACATAAATGTGGCATTACACAAAAGAAGTCATAACTAACATCACAGGTCCATTACCCAGTTCATTACTGGTCTACATAAAAGTGGCATTACACAAAAGAAGTCATAACTGACATCACAGGTCCATTATCAGTTTCTTCTTGCTCACCCTCTTGTTGGAAACATCATGTGCAATGGTCACAGTCTTGCTTGTTCCCTCTGTAGTAGTCTTTGTTTTCTTGTTGGTTTTGCTTGTCTTGGTTGTGATCAGCTTCTTCATCTTCTTACTCTACGGCAAGCCTTCAGGTGCATCTACCAACGCACTTTTGCGGCTGTTAGGAAGTAGAAACAAGGTAAAACATTCAGAACACAAAGAAGTAATAATTTTGAGAAAAATGAAGTGTCCACTGCTTCATGTTACCTTCTAGTGTTTGCTGCTGGGCTGTTTGTTAGTGCTGGTGTTGGTGTTGCAACACTAATAGAATGGCCTTCAATCTGTGACTATTGGGTGGACACAGTGGTTGTACCACTACATTTCTTTGTCCTCACACTCTTTGGCTTAGGTGGGGGTGCATTAGAATCATAGACCGTTTCATTATAGGTCTTCATCATATGACCGAACTGACCACACCTCTTGCAATGCATCTGTCTACCTTTCTTACCACCTTCTTCAGAACTTTTGATCGTTCTATTTCTTGGACGCCCTACAGCCCTTTTGAAATGAGGAGGCCATAGTTTGAAGCCCATTTGAACTTTAGGCCACTGAGTTCTATCTGTCATTGGGTGTACCACATTCTCATAGGCTTTCTTGAACATAGCAACATAGTAGTAGTTGTCTACATAATCTTCCACACTTCTGTTGCGCATAAAATTGATGAGACAAAGAGCATGAGTACATGACAATCCAAAGAATCGCCACCTCTAACAACCTGCATGTCCTAGTCTCAAGGTCCACAAGTGTGCCTCCAAGTTTTTAGTTCCTTTGTAGTGCCTTGAATCTCAGCAATATTGTTAGGACCTCTGTGTATCACATAGTGCAAGTTCCTGCTCATAGCATGAAGTATTTTGTGATGTGAGGCAAGATCTTGTCTGTCATCTTGCTTGACTGTGTCTTCCTAATATATTGTTTCTCCATTATCATTTGCCTTATCCTCGTCCAAATGGTGGGATTAGGTGCATTGACTTCTCATGCCTAATCCAACCGTTGAATGTCTCTGCTATGTTGTTAGTAACATAGTCACGCTTGCTTGCATGAGAAAACTTCCATCTAGCCCATAAATGTCTATGGTTGTCTTCTATCCACTTCATAGCCCTTGGTGAAGCTTTCTACATTATGCTATAATGATGGTCATGGTGTCTTTGGTTGTAAGCCTTGCTGGCTGGCCACAGGTGCTTCTTGAACACAGCCCCTCTGTACCTCTTATTAAAATTCTTCACAAGATGCCTCATGCACTCTCTATGCTCAATTCCATTACAGAAAACAGAAGTCACTCCCTTGTCAATTCCTTTTGCCAGCATCTGTGCAAATTACTAGTCCAGGAGGAGATCCAATGGCAACCTGTAGCTGCTGAAAAACCATTTCCAATTTTCAGCAGATTCAGACTCAAAGACACCATAAGCTACCGGAAAAAGCCAGTTGTGTCCATCCACAGCTGATGCTGAAGCTAACTGTCCTCTCCACCTTCTAGTTAGATGTGTTGAGTCAACACCAAGGAAAGGTCTGCACCCATTCAAGAACCCATCAACACAACTCTTGAAAGCCACAAACATCCTTGTGAACCTCATCTTCTTACCCTCTTTTGCCCAATCAATTTCCACAAAGCTTCTTGGATTTGTTCTCTCCACCTCAGCCTTGAATCTAAAAGCATCTTCAAAATTGTCATCCCATTTGCCCTGTATGTCTTCTATAGCCATCTGTCTTCCATCCCACACAACATAGTAGGACAGTTGGATGTTGTACTTCTTCTCTAAATCTTTCTTAAGTTCTGCTGTTCCTTTTGTTGGTTCATCCCTCAGGATGTCAATAACCCTGTCCCTCACCCATGCATTGGTAGCCATGCCATTCTGGTTGAGTTTGGATGTGCTGGCACAAGTATGCTTCTCATACATCCTCTTTATCTGCATAAAAAGACATACACAACATCATTCATATATCACAAAAAAATACAACATCATACATGGCAAGTTATGTAGTCTCATATGGAAAGTTATGTAGTCTCATATGGCAAGTTGCACATTTATCAACATCAGTTATGTAGTCTCATATGGCAAGTTATGTAGTCTCATATGGCAAGTTGCACATTTATCAACATCAGTTATGTAGTCTCATATGGCAAGTTGCACAAGTTACAGACCTGCCAAGTCCTACCATCCTGCAGTTGAGAAGCATGGATTCTCCACTTGCACTTCTTCTTCTTGCTCTTGGATCCCTTGCAGTACCCTCTGTACCTTTTGGACTCACTGTAAGGACCTGCAATTTCAAACTCGTTAAGTTAATCGCAAATTGGTATATATTTGCATCGGTAGTTAGATTGGTTATCATTTGGTGTGCTTGTCGAAGAATGATAGATTGAAGCCCTAATTTTTTCCGTAAGACAGCTTCTGTGCTACATTCTCTGTCAACTCCTTTAAATTCATAGTGTCCCTATCCAGTATGAGCTAAAAATCTGATGCACTATGCTGCACATTTCTACCGTCATTGCAAGCCTTGACATAAGCTGGGACACGCACCGCTATCCTTAAAGTAGAACTACTATCCATCCTAAAAAAAAATGGACCGGAACAACACATGAAATCCCTAAAATCGGCCAAACAACTACTTCTAACCGCAAATCAACGCAACGACCGAGACTGACCACAATCAAGAAGGGCGCAGAAGAGCAAAGTGCATACCCGTTAGGAACCCATGACAGATTGAGGCCCTTCGATGGAGAATCAATACTCAGACGGAGCCGCTTTAGTTTCGGGGACGCCACCATCTTCACGCGTCCATCAACTGAGTGGGCGACACCGGCGGCGGGGGTGGTAGCGACTGAGATCTGCGTTGTGCCGCCAGCGGGGAATAGAGCAATGGTGGTGACAGCAGCAGGTGGATATAGGAGAGTGGGGATAAGATAGGGCTAGGGTTCCTCGTGGTCGATGCGTTCGGGGTCTAGCTTGACCAAATCGAACTGAGCCAGCCGGGATGTGGTCTGGTTCGACCAACTCGAACTGAGTCCGGTCCACAGGGGCATCCATGGTCATTTTATAAAGTTTCTCTCTCCCTGACACAAGAAATTCTTATTTTAATTGGCGCGGTGTCCACTGGCAAATAACCAAGAATTTGTAAGTTGCGGTGTGTGCCAGCCAATTAAAAGTTTATGCAATGTCCCACAACAAAATTTGCCTAAAATATAGGAACTAGATGGATCAGAGTACAATTACTCTGCTTCTATCATGATCAGAGTACAAAAAATTATTTCTGTGACATCAAACACCTGTCTTAAAGAAAGGCAGTCATTTACAAAGTGTAACAAATTATCAAGCTCACTGCTCACTCCATATACTATCAGCCTGTTCGGGAGGCCGTATCGTATCGTGGATTATTTACTGCTGGCTGGTTTGGTGTGAGAGAAAAACACTGTTCCCGGCTAGAAATTTACGATCGTTTACGAGCAAGCGAACAGGCTGATGTGGTTGGAGATTGCAGATATGTGGTTGGAGATTGCAGATATTCTAGGATAATGTTAACTAATATATGTACAAATCCAAGTAAAACAGGGTGCATCCAGAAACCTTCCGCCTCCTTGATGAGGAACTTTCTTTCCTGCAGAGACAGCATAAGCATACCATTAATCAACAGTCACTACTGAGTCGTACACAGATTCAACACATCGCTAATTGAAAGCTACTTGAAGCAGAAGAGAGGATACTAACTGCAAGCTAATTGAAGCAGAACATACATTTCTTTGGATTGAGCCTGGTCAGCCATGTAGATCAGAGTCCATGCCAGGTTCTCTCGAATGGAGTAAGCCATGCTACAATGCTAACACTCAACCGAGGCCTTGTTTAGATACCATCCAAATTCCAAGTTTTTTCACTCTCTCTCCATCACATCAATTTTTAGCCGTTTGCATGGAGTATTAAATGTAGGTAAAAAAATAACTAATTACACAGTTTAGTTGGAAATCACGAGATGAATCTTTTGAGCCTAGTTGGTCCACGATTGGACAATATTTATCAAATAAGACGAAAATGATACTATTCATTGGGTTGAAAAAATTTGCAAAGAGAACGAGGCCTGAATTTGATTTGGATGTGCCGATAGAGATGATGAGATGGAAAAAGGATATTTTCTTCAGTGGCAGGTGCTAGATGCGCCAGCCATTCAAAAGGCATTCGCACCCAAGGAAAATCCTCCAACACCTAAAAACACCAAAAAAACATGTCACTACTAAACAATGGAAAATAACTGAAGTAAAAAATGGGTATATTATTGCCAAAATTATTGTGCATGCCAAGCCATCTACGAAACAAATTATTGTGCATTCCAAGACATCTACGAACAGTCCTACTCTCCTGATTGTACTGGTAGAGATCTCTTACTTCAAGAGCAGCAAAATACTGACGTTTCTTCTTTTCACGTTCACCTGTTTGCAAAAAAGAAAAAAAAGAAAAAAAGCTCATGACCTACCAAAGGACATTGGTTTTATGTGAGCAGTGGCTGCTTGGTATGACATATTAGATATGTAATATCAAAATAACACAAAAGAGGTTATAAGATGCATTCAAAATATTGATTCTTGCCTCGAAGA